ATCCTTTTAAATTCCAAACCTATTTTTTATTTTCCTGGCATTTTCTTCCTTCCATCTTGAAATTACTCGTAGTAACCTTCCACTAGGTGGCGCACAGTCATTTGATATCCTGGTTCTGATTGAGTCCCAGTCTGTGTATTAGGGCACCCTTTATTCATGTAAACCAGTCCCTACCCCTCCTTGCCTGTCCCCCTAGCACAAGGACACTGTAAAACACTAACTAGATAATATTTCCTGGCATTTTCTTCCTTCCATCTTGAAATTACTCGTAGTAACCTTCCACTAGGTGGCGCACAGTCATTTGATATCCTGGTTCTGATTGAGTCCCAGTCTGTGTATTAGGGCACCCTTTATTCATGTAAACCAGTCCCTACCCCTCCTTGCCTGTCCCCCTAGCACAAGGACACTGTAAAACACTAACTAGATAATACATACTATATGGGCATTCACAACAAAAGCACTCAGTTTAATTCTAGGGGTCTTTTCAAGACAGCAACTATAATGCTACAGTTTAAAATTTTCAGTACCTGAATATTTTGTTGCTCACTATATAAAGGCAGATTAGCTATGCATTTCCTTGTGATGTTCAGTCTTTCATTATGCGATAAAAACAAGATCTTTTCCTCAAAAGAATGATGATGTACTAAATTGCATTTAAAATATATTAGATCTTTAAAATGACTTTCAATTTAACTGCATCCCATGTCCTGTGTGCTTTCATGTCAATTATCATAAAGCAGGTAGTGAGGTTTCACTGGTGTCATTGTAAAGGTAAAGAATGCAGAGACCACGGCTGGAGCATGCTCTGGGTGAGAGCCTGGGTCCCAGGGCTCTGTGCACTCTCCCTTGATAGTCTTTAACTGCTGCTGCTAAGAGACATACCAACCAATTTCAAACTGTCTCTCTTCATGAGTCTAGCAACACAGTTTCCCTGGATTTTGTGAACCAGAGGCTACACTGGAAAATGTGTCTTAGATACCATTAAACTCCTTGATATAAAGCTAGAGGAAAGCCACTTTGACTTTTCTAGAAATATATAATCCAATTTGATTCATTTGAAGATGCATCCTGCTTCCCAATATCTGGTCACACTAACAGTTATTTTTCACTGAGATGTGTCATATCACCTCATTGTAGAATGAAATCCAACCTTCGATATAATCTTCCTTGTGTAGTAAAGTATGCTCAATACTAACAAGCCCAAATTTAAGAGGTTCTTTTCTGTTCAGCTTTGTCTAAAATATGTGAATATGAGCAACATAATAAAATGCTTTATTTTTTCTCTTCACTTATTTATAACCTGCCTTTTGGCAGAATAAATTTGAAGATACATGGAAAATTCTAAGTATACATCAAGGCATCTAACTTACTGTGCAATGTGTTTGTTTTTGTACATTTATCTTATTAAATAAACTATTACTCCAATAGTATCTTCAGCAGAGGTAACTTTATTCATTTTACTGTTTTCAGTGTAGATAAATTGACTGAAGTAGCTCGTTATTACATTGAAACATCTACAAAAATTCAAAATGAGATTTATTTAAGCCAAGAAGACTTCTACATTAATGGAGACATAAAAGTCTTCCCTGATCCTCCCCCACCAACACATCCTCCACCTGTAGAAAAGGAAGAAGATGGCACCCTAACAATTGAACAACTTGACAATCTCCGAGATCAGTTCTTAGATACAGCACCTAAAGGTAAGAAAGTAATTATCACTTAAAGAGCACAGAGAGGTTTAAGAATATCCAGGAGAGCCATCATTTGGCCTGAAGTCAGATGGGCTCTGTTAGAGTGCAAGCCACTCTCCTTGCTTTGCTTTAGTTTATCAGACATTTGTTTTGGACAACATTAATCTCAGTCAAACAAGCAGGAGAATCACAGTGACTGACACTATAGCATGTGACAATCAGCATTCCTGGTAACTCTGCTCTCCTGTCCTTCCCGTCTGGGAGGCAAGTTGGTAAAATGAGTCCCTCTGACAGGTGGAAAATAGCCTTTATGCGTACTTCTAGCAGAGACAGAGCATTGGAGATCCTGAGTTTGTATTTCTGTCTATCCTGCAAGAGGATATGAGGAGATACAGGACACCCCTTGTATAACCGCTTTTGGTCTCAATGCTTCATAAATCATGAGTAGAATCCAATAAGATACTGGCAGATACTTGCCTAAATAACTGCTTTGCTCACATGAATGTGTACATGTTATTTTCTTCATACAACTTTTTGAATCCATTTACATTTTATCATTATGGCTCTGTGGCTTCTACAGTGCATTCCATCCATTTATGTCTGTGTAATGCAGACTGAATGCATGCAGGATCATCATCTATCTTCATTAGGACTGAACACTCAGTCACAGAGCAGTTGAGCAGTGTGTCAGTGTTCATTTACATTTAGAGCTTCAATTCAAAGTTTATTCATGTTCTTATCAAACTAAGTTGTCTCTTGTTAAATAGGTTTATTTTACCTCCCAATATATCCTAATTATTGGGAAATCATCACTTTTCCATGGAGGATAGTCAATGGACTTTAGTCTTAACACAGTTCCACTTTTTAAAAATTATTATTTCCATAAATTCACATCAAATATCATTGATAAAAGAATGATAAATCACTCTAAGCCTACAGCTACAACATAACACAATTGGGTAGCAAGGTGCACCTATGCTCGCCAGGATGAACCCATGCACTGACAGGCATCAGTTTACCAAATAGCTTGAGCAGACTTCATACCTCCAACCTGTAAAAACACAATGCATCTGCGGATGGTCTCAAGTTAGCAGCATTTGGACAACATGGACTGTGGCCAACAGCAGACATCAAAAATCCAACTTTCAAAAGGCAGTTCATGAAATCTCATTAGCTCCCAGGCAGCAGAGTTTATCCTCTTTCCCCTTGTCTGAGCTTTGCAATGACCATTAACTTTTTTTACTTTATGTGTATGTGTGAGTACCTGCATGTATATTTGGGGACTGCAGGCATGCCTGGTACCTGTGGAGACCAGAAGTAATGTCAGTTCCCCTGGATCTGGGGTTACAGGTGGTTGTGAGGCAGTAATGTGGGTGCTGAGAACCAAACTGAGCATCCTCTGCCAAGAGCAAGGGCTCTTAACCACTGAGCCATTTCTCCTGCATCTACCATGACCTTTTATCACATCATTCCTTCTCAAAATTACAGTAGCTGTCCATTTTATCCATACTGTATTTTTACATATGAAATAAAAGATGTGTAAAACTCATAGATTACATAGATGATAGACAGACAGATAGATGATAGATAGATGATAGATATAGATAGATGATAGAAGATGATAGATAGATAGATAGATAGATAGATAGATGATAGATAGATAGATAGATAGATAGATAGATAGATAGATAGATAAATAGATAATAGATATATAGATAATAGATAGATTAAAAACTAAAAGTATTGGGGGCATTTAAGTATGTAAAAATGGAATTTTGACAGTTATAAGCTACTCATAGCCTTTCAGAAGGGACCCTAGTATTCATGGTGATTAACATAATACATTTTTCAATCTAACTTCAGAATCAGAACTTCCATTCCAACTAAAAGTTTAAGACTACAGATAAAATGATAGCTATAGGTTACCACATGCATACCTCAAGAGATGAACTCTAGACACTTTGAAATAAAAGTGCCAAGACATAGCATTTATTGTTTTCTGAATATGATAGAATAAGCCTGTTTTCTAATCACAGTAGAAACAGGAAGACAGAAATTTTAGGAAGGAAATAGTTACAATTTTAAAAAGGCATAAGTAAAAGGAAACCATTTTCCCTAGGGAACTTAAAATATGATTTGAAAAGACAGGGGAAGAAAAAGACCATATTAGATTAAATGTGAGGCAGAATTTGAACTTCAAGAAGGCACTCAAGGATGTAAAGTAAAAGAGAGTCAGTGTGCAGTGATCGAGGCTGTGCCAGGAGAACGTTGTGGAGAAAAACACTAGTAAATCTAGAGAAGTAAGCAGTGGGCTTGTGACAAGAGTACAGGGAACATTTAAATTTAGAACAGCCTTTAAAAACAAGTCGCAATGAGACATGAGTGATGGAGGATGGGCATTATGGGAATGACCAAGGCATGGTCTGCATTTCCTTCCCTGCTGCAGGCAAATAGAAGGTACATCTTTATCTGAGGAACTCCCTCCTCTCATGCAGACTGGACAGCTAACCCAACCAATGATAACTATTGTCATTTAGTCAGAATTTACAGACCTGTGTTTTCTGGGATGTGAGGATTTTGATTTTGATGATTCAGTTATGGTCTATGAGCAAACAATACTCAATTTGGAAAGAATATAAATTCCGTATGTTACTTTTGAGGAATATGTGAAATTCATGTCACAGCATTTGATGCTTCATCGACTGAAGTAATATTCATTTTCATTGTTTATGTTATTACTACAGAGGAGGGAAACATAATAATATTCCTTTTCGCACCCCAAGAGTCACAGCACAGAGTTATGGGTTCCGTACTGTCACTCCAAAAGTCAGCCCCTGAATGCTGATTGCTGATGTCGCCCACCCTTGAGAGGTCCAAGAATGACCACTCATCCTTCTTCCAATGTCTCCCAGGCACATAAACTATCCTGTCTTTATAATCTTTGGTCCTTTGATCTTCAGTTGTGGCTCACTGCATTTAATGTTACATATACATTCATATTCATTTCTGGCAGATTTTGAGGGGTATTAATTTCTATAATTTTTGTTTTCCAAATATTCTATGCAAAATATATGCTTTATAAAAGCATAATATACATCCAGATAGGTATACACATTGAAGACGGGCAAAAAGATTAATTCCTGCAAACTGAACATACCTGTGTAGGGAGCACACAGCTCAATCAGTCAATTTGGTGCCTACAAGTAACTACCTCACCTTCTCCAAGCTAATGACTAGCTTAACGGGAATGGTTTATTTTATGTGTTCTTACACGTAAAATGTTCTCACACATTTCTCACACATTTTCTTCATTACATAATTACATGAAGTAATGTATCATGAATTCTGGTATGGCCTCTTGTACTCAATAGTATTGCTGAGATTCATCCATGTTGTTTGTAGCTCATTATTTAAGCTCCATGACATTCCCTCATGGAGATTAATATAATACAACAAATTTACCTGTTCCATTATTTATAGTATGCTTTGAGGGTTTTTTTTATTAAATTGGCACATGGCAGTTGTTCACATTTCTAGGATACAATGTGATATATGTATGCAATGATCAAATTAGGTCCATTATCATCCATCACCTCAAAGACATCATTTCTTAAATGCCCATTCATCTTTTAAATGAAGACTTGCATTTCTTCCAGGAGTTAGAAAACAATGCTTTACGATGCCTCCCGTTGGATTTATCCTAGATTTCTATAATGTTGGAAGACAAAGTTGAATTGATAAGGGCTTTAAAGTTAGGGAGAAACTGGCTAAATGTGATGCATCTCTAAACGTGATCTCACAGAACTTCCTGATTGAATTTGAAAACTCTTGCTCTTTCTTCCTTTCCTTTCCTTCCTTTTCTTCCTTTCTATCTTTCTTTCCTTCCTTCCTTCTCTCTCTCTCTTTCTTTCTTGATTGATCTTTTTGAGACAGAGGCTCCCTGTAGCACCAGCTGACCTGGAACTCGCTATGTAGACCAGGCTGGCCTTGAAGTCACAGAGATCTATCTGCCTGACTCTGCCTCCCGAAAGCTGCTGTTATTTCTAAGCCAAGAAATACAAGCAATGTCTTGTGCTCTTTCCTATCTGCTCATGAAGCCTACAATTTCTAAGATTCAGCTATCAAGTTCACAAAAATATGTTAAAAATGATGAATAGATGGGTTTTTTTCTAAAATGTAGCAAGCATGTTTTCATGGAATAGTCACTGTATCACTAGATTTATAGTAAGATTTCTAAAGCAAGTTTATTAAAAATAATGACATTACTAAATTGTGCTTTGCATAATTGTTTTACACAAAATTGAGAGGAAATTATAACTGCTAATAAAAATAAATGAGTCAAAACTTTAAAGGTTTGTGAGTAGCTAGTGTCAGGATACAAAATTTAAAAAACCAGACCTTAACAAACTTTATTCCGAATATTGATAGCCTGCTTAGAAATGTCGTCATTAAAATAGCTCTTATTAAATTAATACACAGGTGAAGTGCATCATAGATTATAACACTTATTTGTAAATGTATCACACAGCATGATGCTTAAAATTAACAAATCTTTTTCTGGACAAGATCTGAAGTCACCATTGTTAAAAGTGATAGCTAGACAGATAATACCATTTGTTCATATGATTGTCACAAATATGTCAAAGTAAAACTACATTATGCATGAGAATCCAACAAAATCATACAAAAGGCAACAATTAACCATGTTTGTCTTTTTTTCATATATGAGTACAATGCATTTTGATCACATCCACCCCTCCCTCCCTGCTAACTCCTCCTGTGTGTCCCCTCCATCCTCTCAAATTCATGTCAATTCCTTCTATAATTATGCTGACAAATTGGACATGGGCAACTTATCAGGGAGCTCATCCCCAAGAAAAGTGACTTCATCCTCAGAAGTTGTGGACTGCCTGGAGTTCCTCTGCTGGAATGTAGATTCTTGTGGTCTTGTGCAGGACTTGTTCAGACAATCATAGGTATTGAGAGTTTTGGGGTCCATCATCCCTGTC